GTGACTCGCCAGTCTCCCCTTTCGTGCTGCTTCCGTGATCACAAAGGCCCATGTGAAGGCAATTCTGCATCAGTCCACACTTCTGAGGAGCTGTGACACATGGAGCCTTCCTGCTGACCAATGTTAGATGTGTAGCAAGACCCAAGGTCCAGCTTTGTTGTATCTTAGCCACGGCGTGTGGGGGGTGTTTGTTACCGCAGCATATACCTGCCTCGCCCTGACGGTTACACAGCTCTGCGCGGGTGCTACTGATCGGCTGCTCTGGTTTTCCTGAGAACAGTCCATAATGGCAGGATCCATGTTTCATTTTGACTACTACGCATGACACAGGACAAAAAAACGAGCAGGCCACTGGGTTTAGGATGTCTGTTGAATGACGGAATGAAGACTCCATGAGGAAATGAGTCAAAAACAGGAAGATATAAAATGATGTACCTTAAGTTGGGGAGACAAATCTGACATGGGTGCGGATAATGACAGTCCACCCTCTAGGGATGGATGAACGTGGCACACAGGCTCCTGACTCTAACCCAAAAACCTACCCAAGTAACTATTAACTACTAAAGGCAAGGCAAAGAGCACTTAGGTGAACCACCCAAGACCACAGCTAGCATTTGAGCTGCCAACCTGACTCCAAAGCCAGGGATGGTCCCCTGCCTGCCTGGGCACTCGCACTCCAGGACAAGAGCCCCGCGGAGAAGCCCATGCCCTTGTTGCTCACCTGCCCTTCCTGGTCAAACATGCACAGGTAAATGCCCAAAGGTGAAAAGAGCAAACACGTGCCAAACATCAGTATGGCATCAGCCTTCAAATGCCTTTCTGAGAATGTGGAAGCCATAGGCATGAGGAAGCCTGCAGTTAGAGCACTGAGCTGGTTCCAGGGGTCCTACACTCCAGCTCTAGCAGCTGATCGTTACCTCTCTGGGCCTCAGTTTCTCCTACTGGTATAGCAGACAGGCTGGACAGAATCACTCTTAGGACCTGTTCCAGCTCTAAAGTTCTACAGTTCCTGTAAACATAACTCTGGCTGATAAAGGAAAGAAAGTCGAACCCTTTTAAGAAAATCGCTAAAGCCCTAAAATTACGTGAAAGCCTTTGAGATCCGTGAAAGAAAGGCATTTGCTAAATCCCCTCTATTATTTCCAAAGGATATTTTCTATTATTATTATTTACCAAAGGAATTTCTGGACAGAGTTTAAGTGCCTCAGAGCCTACAAAATAATCATCTCTTCGAAACATAACAAAAGGTTCGGAATATTCTTGGCTGATGACTTTTTCTTTGAAACATGTTCTCCACTGAACAAAGGATTTTCTTCTTTTTTCCAATTTTTCTAGGTTTAAGTGAAACACACACACACACACACACATGCACACACAACTTCATTATGATTACCAACCCAGAATTCCTTAAGTTAGCCAAACAGCCTAAGAACACATTCATAATATCGATGATTCTCGTTTTGGACCTGCTCGGTATCATCCACTATCCTAGGAATAGGTTATTAGAAAGAAGACAAAAATGGGATACATTTATTGAGAATGATGAACCAGGCTCTGTGCCAAGAGCTTCATACTCATTCTCTCACTTAACCCTCTGCATAACCCAGTGAAATGGGGAAACCAAGTCTAAGAGATATTTAGTCTAATCTGATCTAAGATTAGGCAGCTGGGTTCACACAGAGGTCTCACAAACTCTTGCTTTGTTCTCTCCCATGCAATGCCTCACTGAATCCTCATGCCCAGCCTACAAGGCAAGGAGGCCCATTATACAGATGAAACTGGGAATGGGCCAGGTCAAGTCACTGACCCACAGTCACCCAGAGAGTGTCTGTCCAGGAAGCCAGGGTACAAATTCTATTCCATCAAACTGAACAGCTCTTTGCCTGACTCCATACTATTTCTGGGTAACATAGGCCCCAAGACGCACGCTCCTTTTGTCTGGGCCTACCTTGTGGCCCAACACATTGCTAGTGTCAACTCCTAGAACTTCCAACTCTTGAGTGAATGAAAGAACAAGGGAATTTTCTGCAGTGCCAGGAAGCATGTGTGGCCAAAGGACATTTTCAATCTCTAGAGCCAGAGTGGAGAGCTCTGCAGCTCTGCATTTGGTGGGTATTGCAGCAATGCCTACTTTTGCCCAGAGACCTAGGCCCTGTCAATAATTCCACTGTAGGCAGCTGCTTGCAAAAGTTAATAACTCGACCCATAAAAATGTGCGGCGAGTTGCAACTTGGCACTAGCCGCCTCAGACTGGGAGAGAAGCTAGCGTTTGCAAAATATGGTTCAAATAATCCCGCCTCCCCTTTTTTTTCCTTCTTCTTTAGTTTTAAGAGTGCAAGAAACATAGAAGTTTTGTGGTTTCACACTGGTCTTTTTATGGTTCGAAAGACTCCAAAACAGAGTTGATTAAAAAAATGCCTCTGCATAATGCCGACCATTGTGTGGGCATTTTCAAGGAAGCATGCCATCCGGTGCTGGGACTTCGGGGACTTGGATGTTCTTCACTGGCTTAAATAAAAGGTTTTGTTCTCAGACAAAAGGGACATCCTGACTCAACAACTGTTTGTGTTTTGACCTCTGCACCCAAATCCCAAATCTGCCCACAAGAGGCAATTTGATACAAGGGAATGAGCATGGACTTTGGATCCAGCCAGGAAAACTTAATGCCTAGCTCTGTTCATTCCTGGCTTTAGAACTCTAAGAATCTTAGGAATCTCAGAGGATCCTCTCTCCTCATCTCTACAATGGGCACAGTAAGTCTTACCTTAGGGTTGTTGAAAAACTTGAGGGAGATGATTTACGTAAAGCACAAAGTACATTCACCCATTCCTTAAAAAAAATAATTGTTCAATACCTACTAAGTGCCAGGCATTGTTCTCAATATTGGAAAATCAACAGTAAACAAGGCAGACTCAGACCCTGTCCTGGTATAGCTCACATTTTTGTTGGGATGAGACCATAAATGAATAAAGACATAAATGAGATCATACTGGATATTGAAAGCTTAAAGAGCAGAGGTTAGTGCAGTAGAGAGTGAAAGGGGAGGGGCTGGGCAACTTCAGCGAAGGTAACAGATGAAGGCCTCTCTGAGGAGTTGGGACTTGAACTGAGGCTGAGTGGTATTAAAGAGATACCCATGGAAAGATGGCTGGGGCAAGTGTTTCAGATGAAAGGATCAGCAAGTGCAAAGGCCCTGGGGCAGAATGGGATGGTCAGGATAGAACATGTGAGCTAGCAGGGAGTAGAAGAGGAGAGGCTACAAGGGAATACAACAGCCAGATTAGGGGATGCCTTGAAGGTCATGACAAGAGGTTATATTGGGCTTTATTCTAAGCTCAATGGGAAGCCACCTGTGGGTTTTAAGTAGTGAAACTGCAGGACTTATTTGCATCCTGACTGCTCAACGGGGACAAAATCACAGTAAGATACGCAGGAAAACAAGACCAGTTAAGATACTTTTCTCAGTCTAGCCAAAGATAATGGACTATCATAGCCACAATGGAGATAAGAGAAGCATATTAATTTGGGGATATATCTTGGAGGTGGAGCCATGAAATTTTTTTTATAAATTTATTTTTTATTGGTGTTCAATTTGCCAACATATAGAATAACACCCAGTGCCAACATACAGAATAACACCCACTGGAGCCATGAAATTTGATAGTATCTAGAGAAAAGAAGCTTCACCTTTCGAAGCTAGATCAAGGAGTGTGGGAATGGTGGCCAGTAATATGGGAAGAAACCAGGAGAGTGCAGTGTCCTGGAAGCACTGAAGGGAAAGAATTTGGGGAAGAGGGGAAAGGCCAGGTGGCCAAGTGAGCAAGAGGAGAACAGAGAACTGCCTGTTGGATTTGGACAGATGAAGATTGCATGGGTGACTGATTGCTACGCATCATTTCTGTGAGGGTGTTGGGAGGCAGAGACTGAGAATAAGTTCAATAGAGGCAAGGTATTTTTAAAATTCCTCCTTTAGGAATGGAAATTAGGCACCTCATACCTTATCTATGAAAACTTAGACATTTCTTTCACGATAATAAAAATATCCGTGAGAATAACAGCTCATGAGCCTCAGACATCCAGTCAGTATGGTAGGCTGAACAGACAGGGAAAGACACCTATCCACCCCACCCACCCCCAGTTCAAACAAATAAAAATGTTGGATACGATGTAACAGTAAACTATTTAAATACAAAATCGATTTCAAAAGTAGGGAAGGGAAAATCTCCAGGAGGTCAAGATGAAGATAAAACCCAAACCAGAGCAGTTCCTGAAAGCTGAAGAAAAATGTCTTACAAGATATTGGAACTGGTTATATAGGAGCTGGAGTCCAAGGGAAGAACAAGACTTCAGGCTTACGTGCCTCTGAGTCCTTTCAGAAAGCCAGGAACCATGAAGCATGTCCTGCCCATGAAACTCCAAGCTGAAACGTTATAAAATTTGTCCAGAACTGACAAAACTCACAGGATTCTGAGTAGCTTCTTATGTGATTCCTCCTAAGGGATCCCTCCAAAATTCAAGAGAACAAGGCTTCTATGAAATCTGCCCCCATTAAAAATGAACTCACAACAGAAAATTACAATCCACAGGAGCAAAAAAAAAAAAACCCACCCTGAGGTCTAGTAATAATCAAAAGACAGAACAAATGAGAGAAATTCACCTTAAGAACTAGAAATAAAAGAAATAAAAGTAAAAATTAAAAGAAACATTAAGCATATGTAAAATCTTTGAAGAGAAGTAGGAAAAAATACATACAAAACCAAGATGGAATGTAAAAGCAAAGGCACATCTGAAAAGAACTAAACGGAGATTCTAAAAATGAAAAATGTAATCATTAAGGTAGAAAAGTTAAATAGTTAAGTAGAAGAATAGATACATTGAAGCAAAAATGTTGAACTCTAAAATAGACATTTGGAAATCACACAGAAGGCAGAAAGAAATAAATAACTTATGTGGATAATATGACACAATAATTTGAGATCATAATAAAAAGAGATGCTCCTATGCTCACTTCGGCAGCACATAGTCTAAAATTGGAATGATACAGAGAAGATTAACATGGCCCTACACAAAGATGACATGCAAATTCATGAGGTGTTTCATATTTTATAAAAAGAAAGAAAGAGAGAGAAAGAGAAAAGAGGAGCTCCAATATGTTAAGTTGTACTCTCTTCATAGGTTTCAAGTGATTGACTATCAGGAATTCCATACAGTTTTACCTACAATATCTAATACAAGTGATAGAAAGAAAAACAATAAAGAATGTGGGAGGGACTCCTGGGTGGCTCAGTTGGTTAAGCATTTGACTCTTGGTTTTGGCTCAGGTCATGGTCTCAGGGTCTTGAGATCAGGCTCTGCACTGGGCACAGAGTCTGCTTGAGACTCTTTCTTTCCCCTCTCTCTCCCATCCTCTCTGCTCCTCCTCCTACTTGCTCACTCTTGCTCTCTCTCTCTCTCTCTCTCTAAAAATAAATAAAATAAAATCTTAAAAAAAAAGAATGTAGAAGAGAGACAACGTTTAGAGAGCTGACAGCTGACAGTTTTGCAGAATTAAAAAAAAAAACAGAAGTCCTCATATTGACTCAAAACAATAGAAATAAAGTGTAATGGGCCTATCAAACATCAAAGACAAAGGAGGAAGGCTTGAAAACTAGTAGAGAGAAAAGACGAAGGACTGAGTGATAGCAGACCTCCCACCATTCTTTTTCAATTCCAGAGGACAATGATACAATCTTTTAGACTTACAGAAAATAAGCCCACCATTCACGTGAGAGCTGTAAAGGACATATTCAGATACACATGGAGAAGGACAGACACATCACCCACAGATTTTTTTCTTTTTTTTTAATAATAAATTTATTTTTTATTGGTGTTCAATTTGCCAACATACAGAATAACACCCAGTGCTCATGCCGTCAAGTGCCCCCCTCAGTGCCTGCCACCCAGTCACCCCCACCCCCCGCCCTCCTCCCCTTCCACCACCCCTAGTTCGTTTCCCAGAATTAGGAGTCTTCCATGTTCTGTCTCCCTTTCTGATATTTCCTACCCATTTCTTCTCCCTTCCCTTCTATTTCCTTTCACTATTATTTATATTCCCCAAATGAATGAGAACATATAATGTTTGTCCTTCTCCGATTGACTTATTTAACTCAGCATAATACCCTCCAGTCCCATCCACGTTGAAGCAAATGGTGGGTATTTGTCATTTCTAATGGCTGAGTAATATTCCATTGTATACATAAACCACATCTTCTTTATCCACCCACAGATTTTTAACTAAAGAAAAGTGCCACGACAAGAAAACAGAGTCAGAAAGAAGTAAGGGAGTACGAGGTAATATGAGTCTACAAATTGGTAAGTCATTGGAAATCCAAATAAATGTCAACTGAAAGGAAGTAAGAATGACTAAAGGAGGAGTAAAAATGGGGTAGAATTAAAATATTAAACAACATTAATATTCTTGAAAGAGTTCAGAATTTAAAGGACTCTAAGGTCACAGTAATTAGGGCAGAGGATGCAGAGAGCTGGATTTCACTAAATATTCACCTTAAAATTTTAAGGACAACTGCTAAAATTATTAATGTAGAATGTATTTCTTCCAAACCTGTACTTACAGAAACTAAAAGCAACCCTACAGACAGGGCTAGGCATTTCTCTGTAAAGGGCCAGGTAGTAAAAATTTTCAGCTTTGACAGCTATATAGTTCCTGTCAAAACTATTCAACTCTGCCACTGTGATGCAAAAGCAGCCATGGACCATATATAAATCGATGAGCATAACTATGTTCCAATAAAGCTTTACTTACAAAAACAGGTGGCAGGCCAGGTTTGATATGCAGGCTAGAATATGCCACCTACTACTATAGAAGGCAAATGAAAGGACAAAATAGAGTGATCAAGAAAATGCATATATGTAAAAAAAAAGTCCATAAAGAATCACAATAAAGAAAAAAGCACTGAGTGTTATACTGTATATTGGCAAATTGAATTTAAATAAAATAAAATAAAACAAGAATCACAATAAAGTTAAATGGATTAAATTTATCTATTAGAATATCCACGTTGTAGTATGACACAGCATGATGCCAGGTATATACAGGTTTAAAACACAGAGCAAAAGCATTTACCATTTATGGATATGTTCACGTGTGTAGCAGAAGAAGTACAGAAAGGATGCATCCAATTCCAGAGAGTGTGGCCTCAGGCAGGAAGTGAGAAAAACAGATTTGGAGAAGGGCACAATGGAGAGTCAATATAACTGTCAAAGATTTTGTTTCCAAAACAAACAAAAAATCCAAAGCCCGTTTAGCAAAACATCAACATTTGTTAAAATTCTAGATAGTGTATTAGTATTAGTTACATTACTCTTCATATTTTTAAGATTGAACACAGTGTCCTTTTTAAGCATTTGTATCTCCTTGGAACTTTAGCAATCATTAGGAGGATAGTATTACAAACTCTATTTCCAGAAGAGGAATTCCAGGCAGGAGACTCAGAAAAAATGAGACCATAATCTCCCAACTCATCTAAATGCACTCTAGATACTGCATGACATTTTGTGGGAACTTGAAAACATCTATTTTGCAAACACCTTGTCTCCACGATCCCTGGAACCTCCATCTTTACCAGACACTTATTCTCTTACAACCAGAACTCCTGCCTCAACCGCTTCCCATCCATCCTCTGCTCTCTAGACATTCATGGTGTGAAAATACAGCTTGAATCACACCACACTCCACCTCTTCAGCACTGGCTGTGAGCCTGAAGATATGAAAACAAAGAAGACATAGTTCTCAATGTGGTTTAATTTCCAACTCAACCAACTCTACCTGGCCAAACATTAACTTCTCTAAGCCTCCATCTCTTCATCTTTAAAATGGGCATCACCAACCCTACCATACATGTTACCTAAGGTTTTCTTCAAGAACAAAATGAAGTCATCTAGCAGATATCTGCTCTTACATAAAAATTCCAAACCCCTGAGCACAGGGCCTCATAAGCTTACCCAGATCACACAGGTCACATATGGGGGGAAAAAAAAGGGCGTATTGTCCTGCACACACGTGGCCATCCCCAGAACACCCTAAGCCAGTCACACACCCTCTGCAGGCCTCTGCTTCCCAGTCATTAAAGAACAGGTTGGTCCAGACAATCTCTAAGAATACTTTCAGCTCTGCCATCTTGGGTCACCTACTTGGTTCCCCTGGGACCCATGAAAGCAGAGCCTTCAAGGCTTGTCTTATGCAAACATCAGCCCTAGCCATGGTGAAGAGCGTGGTATCATTAGTATTGCTCATGATAAGTGGGATGTTGAGTTCCCTAGAAATGAAAAGGTTTATTTATAGAGGTGTGGGAAGGGGAGCCAGATTCCTGCTGCTTCTGCTGCTGCTGCTGCCCACCACACTGGCCTCAGTCAGTTCCTGAATAGGCCAAGTTCCTCCCACCACTGGGCCTTTGCACACGCACTGTCCTCCCTTTGTGGAATACTCTTCTCCACCCCTTCATCTAGTTCATGCCGACTCTGCTCTGCCATCAGGTCTCAGTTCAGTCTTTGTTTCCTCAGGGAAGTTTTCCTTGAGGAAGCCCTCCCTCACTTCCCAGACTAGTCAAATTCACTGATTACACATTCTCATGGAGCTTCCTGTATCAGTCAAGTGTTACCATGATAATGCTGTGAAACAAAACCACCCCCAAAACTTTATACAACCACAATATATTATTTCTCTAACTCTGTAAGTCAGCTGGACAGTTCTGCTGAGCTGATCCAAGCTCAGCTGATCTCAGGTGGGTTCACTATTATATCTGAGGTCAGCTGGTGAATCAAAGTTGGAGGCTGGTTCAGCTGGTATGGCACTGCCATGCCCTACATGGTCTCACCTGGCCCATATTCCCAACAGGCTCGCCTGGCCATAATCTCATGGCAGTGGCAGAAGCACATAAAGACTCTTGACACCTCAACTTGGAATTGGTACAGCATCACTGTCACTGCATTCCATTGGCCAAAGCAGGTCACGGGCCATCCCGCAGGCCTGGGCTGGAGAAATGGCTTCCACCTCTTAATAGGAGGAACTGAAAAATCACATTGCACAGCAAAGGTGGGGGCCTGGGACTATTTTTGCAATCAGTGTATCACACTCCCTTATGAAGGAAATTATGATCACAATCTTCATTTTCTCTTTTATTCATGTGACTCGTCATCTTACCCACTAAACTGTATAGTGTAAGCAACAGACATTGGTTCTATTAAACCACTGAGATATTAGGGCTATTTGTTATACAGTATAACCTAACCTTATCCTGACTGATACAAATGTCTACAGCTTGCCGCAGACCCCAAACGTCCAGCTCTATTCCTAGCCTATAAAGTCAACAGAGATCCATGCTCCTCTGGTTATGTAGAGGTTAGCACTCTGTCCCTAACTGAGATGATTACTATAGTGAGAACTTTTATGTGTGCTGAGCATCTATGGTGTAATTGCATTTCTTCCATACACAGAGGGTTCTCTCGAAACAGAGAAGGCATAGTGGGAAGGGCATCAGGACTTGGCACAAAAGAATCCTTCACTTGATGGTTTAAGTTCCATGCCAGCTATTCATCTCAACAAAAACTAACATTTACCTATGATTCCAGGCCTATGCCAAACCCTAGGCATAGGAATGGGAGATGCTTAGTGGATAATCAAATCCATCTCCCTGATTAAGCAGATGTTGAGAACAAGATTTTATACCAGTTTCTGGGGCAGAGCCAGGGATCAGTAATGGCTCCCCTAATATGTGTCCAAGTTAAGGCTAAATCCACCCAGCATCTACTGATACAACCATCCATCCTTCCATTCACTCAATACCTTGAGCACCTGTTATATGTGATTCCAGAACACTCCATTCTAGGCACTGAGGATATATTGGAGAACAAGAAGAGCCAGAACCTTACCCCATGAAGCATCCATTCTGTGAGGAGTGGACAGAGGTAGACAAGGCTATCCATGGTGGCAGACAATAGAATCATCACAAGTGCTTTAGGGCCCACCCTTCTGCATTTACGTCAGTATCTGTAGGAAATTCTCCCAAAGCTGGTCCCACAGCAGTGTTTGGAAGCACTTAAGGACTGAAAAGGTTGCTGACCTGGCAGTTAGGAGTCCTGGGCACCCCTCCCAGAGGAGGACACAGTCCTCCAAGCCAATATCAAATGTGATTGGACTCACAAGTCTCAGATGAGCTCCAAGGGGGATCTGCACAATCCTGCCATGAAGAGACACTCACTGTGTGTTCTCTACTCCAGCCACGTGCCAACCTGGAGGAAAGAAGAGAGCAATGCTGGGATCCCACCACCCTTGGGGGCTCTCCTCCAAGCCCTCCACGTACACCACAGTGAGGAGCTTCTAATAGCAGGTTGTAGCTGGTGCACTCAACTAGCCACTTGGCTTGAAAGATAAATCAACAGCATTTATTGCCAGAAAAGCCACAGCAGCCAAACCCTTTCTGAGGTTTGAGGGCCGCACATGCTTGAGGCTTTCAGTCCTCAGGAACCAACACATTCATATTGCCAGAGGGCGGGCCCTCCAGAAGCATCAGTAACAGCCTGGGCTGACACGGTGCTTTGGATGACTCAGCCGACCTCCTCAAGTCCACCTCTCCAGGCAGACTGCTTCAATGTACTGCCCACCCCCAGGAGTCCTGCAAGCCATGAACCGGGGCTCAGGTGGATGCAGCGGGAGGGTCACACTGGGGGCTCTAGCAAACTCCCAGGGTTTCACTTGGCTATGCCATGCCCCTCCCTAAGCCTTGGTTTCCTTATGTACAAAATAAAGATACAATAACAACCTCCCCGGCCAGGGTTATTGTGACTTTTTTTTAAGTGAGATATGGCTCCTACCATAGAATCACAATGTTTGCTGACTTGTAATATTAATGCCTTCGTATTAGAGCATGCACTGAGTTCTCACCATGAGCTGGGCATGGGTCACAGCTGTCTTTATGCATCACTCCATTTAATCACTTAACTGTAAGGGTGGGCATTTTTATTATACCCGTTTCATAAACACTGAGGCTCAGAGAGATTAACTGTGGGCACATGGTTAAAAACAGGGCTTAAGGGACGCCTGGTGGCTCAGTGGTTGAGCGTCTGCCTTTGGCTCAGTATGTGATCCCAGAGTCCTGGGATTGAGTTCCGCATCGGGCTCCCTGCATGGAGCCTGCTTCTCCCTCTGCCTCTGTGTGTGTGTGTGTGTGTGTGTGTGTGTGTGTGTGTGAATAAATAAGTAAAATCTTTTTTAAAAAAAGACGAAAGAAAGAAAAAGAAAGAAAGAGAAAGAAGAAAGAAAGAAAGAGAAAAGAAAAGAAAAGAAGAAAAAAAGAAAAGAAAAGAAAAGAAAAGAAAAAAAAGAAAGAAAAGAAACAGGACTTAAGCACTGAATGTGTGCGAGCCTCTTACTAACTTGGGAGGCTGCAGAGAGGCAAATGGGCACAGCACAGGGTTAGGCTCCACTTTCACTCTTGCCCTTGACCCTATCTTCTCTTTTCTTGTTTCAGAGGCCTGGGCAGTTCCCACACACCTTTACGTCCCAAGCATACCAGAAGCGTGGGCCTCAAGACAGTGGGACCCCAAATCCAACGCGCCCAGGCCTGTCAAAGAAGAAACATGCAAATGTATTAAGCAGGGTGGGAATGGATTTTTATGATTCTACCAAATGTCTGATAGTGGGAACATCGCCCACGACAAGTATGTATCAGCTCAAGAGAGGCAGAGAGCGTTTTAGGACACCGTGTGCGCCCGGCCTGGCAGTGGCAGCTTCGGGGGTGGATGACAAAGCAGCCCAGAGCCCTCTCTCTCGTGGAGGCTGGTGCCTGACTCTGCAGGAGCTGAGAGGCACCTGCTAGGTGTTAAGGCTGGTCTCACAGCCAGTCTTGGCCTCGTGCTTCCTCTGAATGTCTCCTCCCTCCCACTTCACACCCCATTCCTGCCTCCCTGCCTCAGTTAGTCTCTCAAATCCCCATGCTACAGATAGGAAACTGAGGTTCACAGAGGTGACATGACCAAGGACACAAGGTTAGTAAGCAGCGAAGCCAGGACTTGGCCCAGGTCACAGGCTCCAGGCTTAGCCCCTCACCCTGATTACCTTCAACTCTCCTTGTGAGGCCAAAGCAGGGAACCAGGCAACCCCCAGGTGGAAGAGCTGACCAGCTGCTGAGGTTGAGACAGACTTCAAATGCTGGGCCCCGTGGAGCTAGGGCAGCCCTGCCACATGCACGCTGTGTGCCCCTGTGGCAGACATTCACCTTGGCAACCCTCGGCCCCCACACTCATAAGGGGGGTGTCCGTGAGCTCTTGGGAGGCTCCGGTTCTTACCATGGTGATAAGAATGCCCTGCAGCCTGCAGGCGATCTCAGACATGAGCCGGTGTCTGCACAGCACCCGCCGCTGGCCAGGCGCTACGGGAAACCCTCCATGCACATGATCTCATGGTCTTTGCCTTTACGGTGATGCTTCTTTCTACACACACATCAGAAAACCAGTTCTGGAACATCTCCAGGAGAGCAGAGCTACTACTCCCCAGCACAAATTGTTTCCTGGAAATGATATGGGTTCTAAATCCCAGATACTCAGACCCAGCATCTCACTTGTCTGTGAAACTTATCATGTACAAACTCACCAACTTCCGAAGACAATTTAAGGCGTCTTACAAGGACACACTCACACACTAGGATAGCCAACAAAATTGGAAATGCTGACCAGGATGCAGACTTCTCAGAGGGAGAAGTGTCACCTCCCCACCTGCCTCTTTATCCCCTGGGTTTGAGTATTCTTGGTGCATAGTAGATGCTCAATAAATATTTCTTGAATGAACCGATGCCTAAGCTAATAATAATGGGCATTTGAATAAAGCATTAACAGGGCACATTTTAAGGCACATTTCCAGCCATTGTCTTATTCAATCTTGACGAAGGTGATTGCTACATTCCCACTTTGCAGATGAAGCAACAGACCCTGACATAGAACAGGAATCTCTTCACTTGAATGGCAAATCAAATCCTCTTTGCTTACTGAATTCCTTTTCATTCATCAAGGCTTAGATGACATGCCACCTCTTCCATGAAGTCTTCTCAGTCTTCCCCACAATTGATATTTTCCTTCTCTATCTCCCAGAGCCCTTCATCAAACCACTATTACTTTTTGTTCGCATTCTGGTGATACTAGGATCTGCTGTGTACATGCCCATCTTCCTCCTGAAGGCCATGTCTTTAAAAAAAAAAGATTTTATTTATTTATTCAGGAGAGACACAGAGAGAGAAAGGCAGAGACACATGCAGAGGGAGAGGCAGGCTCCCTGCGGGGAGCCCAATATGGGACTCGATCCCAAGACCCCGGGATCACACCCTGAGCCAAAGGTGGATGCTCAACCATTGAGCCACCCAGGTGTCCCCCTAATGGCCACGTCTTACACTTCTCACATCCCCAGAACTAACACAATGCTCAACACACAGTAGGTCCTCAACCAAGGTGTACTGACCTAACTATGTCCTCCATAATCAACTTGTGGCTAAAATGTCAGAGCTGGGAAAGGCATTAAAGGTTAACCATTGTTCCCTAATTCAGTAGTCTTGCTTGTGTTCTCCAGAGAGTTAGCAGCAAACAAGTGTCCTGCCTCATAACGCAGGGTCCTCCTGTACCAACTCCAATGGATTAGCGACATCTGCCCCTGACACAAGCTGGGGAATATGCTAGAGGGCTGTCAGCTGACCATGACATTGGACCACACTATTTACATCAATTAGTATTACTGTTTATTGACAGATTCCTCATCCAGGATAGGATTCAAAAGTGACCCATTCCGCATCTTTGTCAATTTTTCCGTACCCAGCCCTTCTCTCCTCCTCTGTTTGTCTCTCCAATTAGTTTGGTGTGTTCTTCAAGGGTAAGTTCTGAGTCTGGTTGATTTCTGCACTCCCACCACCTGCACATAATACAAGGTCCTGTGAGTGTGGGGGGAAAATAAGTAAACTAAACTTGGTTCAACAATGATGGATCCAGAAGGTAAGTGGGTGGACATGCAAATGGACAGTAGACTCTCAGATAACACTTCCCTAAATGTCCCGTCTGCACCAGCCTCATCAGGAAGGGAACAGAGAGAGCCTTCTCCCTGGAGTTCCTGGATACAGGACTCTGACCGCCACTCTACGCATGAGCTCACATTTCGGGGGTGTGGAAAGTGCATGCCCATCTTTCCAGCTGTGGGTTGGCACATTAGCAAAATATCCACAAAATATAGGTTTGGGGAAATCATCCTATAAAATAGAATGAACCATTTTCCAAAATAGAAAATTGCCCAATCATTAAAGGTGGTTTAAAAAAAAAAAAACATTCAAATATCCAAGGCCTTTTTTCCTAATAGCCCTGTACCTGCTGTGTTATGGAGAAAGGGAAATGTAGATTTATTTGCATTTTATAATATCCCTATTTTCTGTATGGGGCTAACATGCCAGCTATGTGTGAAGAAATATAAATATTCCAGTTCAGTTATAAAAAGATATAGAGCTGGAATTCTGAACCTCCTGATTTCACTTGTTTACAAATTCTTTCTCCATGCTGTGATTTGTTCAAGGTATTTAATAAGCAAACAAGTCTATAAAAAGACAGAAAGCATATTGTTTTTCATTAAAGATGACCCTACAATCCCAAGCCTTTAAAAATATAATCTGCTTTTGCCTTTCCTAAAAGAATGGAAAAATTTAGATTTTTAGAAGGAAGGGGAAAATGAAGTTGCATAAATTATAATAAAGAAACTCAAACAGAATGAAAATTTTTTTTAGAATGAAATATTTTTTAATTAAGTCTGTTTCAGTATTGGAAGTACTAAAAGTTGCCTGTTACAGCTCCATTTGTTCCTGTGCCTGAGAATCAAAGGAAGGGGGTGTTATCTCATCCTGGGATGTAGAACTCATGTTTGTTGGATGGGATGCTTATTAGGACAAGAGCTGGATGCTGCTGGGACCTCTGGTCAGGTGCTGGTTTCAGGTCTTCTTATGATCAGCTTTATCTCATTTGGGGAAATTCATGTTTCCATGTTCCCTTAGATGTGTTCAATCAAATATTTACTCCTTATTCCAAATCATGCATAAGCAAATATTTGGTGCAAGGCACTGGGCTGGGCTCTAGAAATCCAAAAATGGATATGATCAGTTCTTGCCCTCCAGATGCTGAGCAGATGCTCCCAACTCCACTGAGTATAATTCAAGG